TTTAACATGATTCTCACATCTAAAAGCACATACCTTGGTCTTGTTCCTCTGCCCTGCTCACACTTATTAAGCACAAATTGCATCCACTTCATAGCAAACTTCAGTAAACCGTGTCCTAATTTTTGTTTGTTGTCTCCAGTTACTAAGTGACTCACTTCCTTATGATACTGAGAACAAAATAGTAGGGTTGTACAAACCTGTTTGTTTACTTAATCATACCTACCAGAAAATCCGTGAAAATATTAAATTTCATTTATTACATGTTAATTACAGATTACAGCCCCAGGCGGAAACTACATGTATTAGGGAATATACCAGGGTCGAACATCTGAGGGTAATATTCTCTAAGAAAGGGGCTGGCTTCGGTCGAGGGCGCCATTGCGCTAACGCTATCGCGCACATGGGCTCTTGGTGGTGTGGGCTAGGTCCATGAACACTGTCTGACCCGTGACCACTGGTCCTCCATGGGTTGGAGGCCTCTCAGGTAGTAGTTAATGAAGACATTCTGAGATCTCCAGAACCCCGCTCGAAGCACCTACTCAAGTGAGATACCAGATATCAAGCCAAAGACCTGGTGGCATTCCAAACTGGTCGCTGAAGAAGCCGACAATCCACATGAAATGGTAATATTCGAGGCAGAGCGGTCTTGCTTGTGCTACCCATAACAGACAAACATGTGCTTCCTGCCGCCCAGAGAATTGTGTCCCTCTTGACTTTTTTTTTGTATGTGCAAATTGCAAGTGCTAGTGCTGACAGTGCGAGTGGAAATACTTGTTGCATAGCCAAACTCGAGACCAGTTTCTGTCCAGCAGACTCTAGTAAGACTGGGAACAAAACTGACCGATATCTAAGAATCGTCGATAAAGATTTTCTCTGATCAAATAAATACAAGAAAAAAATAGGCTACCTCGCTAATAGAGGGACGGAGATGATCAATCAACATCCCGTTACACCAAACGATGTAGAGTCTCCATCTGGACTCATACTCTGACTGTGCTGAAGCGAGGAACTTGGATAACTCTGCCAAAAAGCCTTGCGACAGCCTCCATATGTGAAGATGGAACAGCGCGGGGCTCGTCGGGAGAGTACCGTCTGGCTGGGACAGATCCGGAAGATCCGGCAACTCCCCTGGGGACTCGACTAGAAGGTTAGGCGCAACAGTGTCAGAAGGCAAGGGTGGAAAGGCATAAGTGTCCATGGGACTCCCAGAGATCGATAGAGCGCCAAATGCGCTCGTCTTCGAAAGAGGTGACACAAACATCGGACGCTTAACATTTCGGTGATTGGCAGACAGATCTATCTGGAGACATGAATGTCACAGTCCCAGTTATTCGATTATTAGTAGTACAAGGAACATCTGCAACAGGTGAATATGTACATGTACTCTATGTGGATACAACTTATCATAATTCCCATAATCTAGTTTTGTACTGACAACTAAAAACTTCTACTGACCCATGTTCAGAATCTCAGAGAACACAAGTGCAACAAAACTATTTGTTATATACATATACATATACTTGCTCAAGAAAATGCACTCATAAATCTGAGTGAACCTTGATGTGACTTCTTTGTTAATTCAGGTCTTAGTATATTACCAGGACCTGGGTTTGTTTCAACATCATCACTGGGCATCAGAATCATTCTTATGTTGTCAAATACAATTTGTTATTAACACAGTAAGGTTTATTATTTAAAATGTTTTCATTGTACATAGAACAACATCTGTTAATAAACAATTGTAAAAGCTATGTTTTCAGAGCAAGTACATGTAATAATTAAGAAAGCCAGTAGCGATAAAAGTTGGTCTGCTCATAACCTTCAATGGAGAAGTGTCGCATACGACTTGTTTACCACTTCCGTGTGACTGAGAATGTTCTAGAACCGTACTGTGTCTGGGTGGAATTTTTAGAAGTTGGTTGAATAGGTAATAGGACACTGTAGAAAGCAATAGAAGGTAATGGAACATTCTAGAAATTTGTAGTAAGTTCCAGACTCATTATGTATGTGATGTAATGGTCTATTTATAGACAGTGTGGGTATATATGGGGGAGTTGTTCAGCACTGAGATCAGATCGGAGAGCTCGTTGAATTGTATTGGAGTTTAAGTATCTAGTTATTGGAGTAGTGGAGTTTTACCGTGTTATTGTACTTGATGTTTGCAGAGTATAATAATACCAGTACCAGTTGAAACCTCATCTGTTGGCTCCGTGTTCGTATTTTATCATCGCTGCCAGGGAAGTCTTTTTGTTACTGTTGCCATTTTGGTATTTGAACCATCACACCTGTACTATACCAATTACGGTAATATTACGTTGCGTGTGACAAGAAGTAACTATAATTGTTTGAAGTCTTCTTAGTGCAGTGATATTATTGCATTTCAATCATTACTAATGGGTAAATAAAATATTGTAAACTATTTAATTTTCACTGCTAGATATATTCAAAATTTTATGAAATTTGTGTACAACATTTCAATAAAGTCCCTAACACTCCATGTTGTAGGAACCCAGAAAAAATGCCTTGCGAAAGTGAAGCAGTTCACAGCACCAGAGAGTACTGAAGACACATTAAAAAATCATTCAAAATTACTTGTACCTGAGGTATTGATGGAAAAACTGAAAACTAATTATGTAAATCAGGTAACTAATATGAACAGAACAGAACAAACAAATTATGAATTATTATGCTAATTAGAGAATTAATATGAACAGGCCTGTCTATTGTCTTTGAGCATTTATGCACCAAAACTTTGTAATTGAGATATCGGTGTTAATTAATTATGTTAATTAGGTGATTAATAAGCATAAATATTTACCAAAAACTAATTTGGTTTCTACATAGTTCTAGATTCATTGAACTCTTTAAAAGTTTCATTAAAATCCAATCCATGGTTCTTTATATATCAGTGGAACATTTATGGAAGCAATTAACTAATTATGCAAATTAGGTAATTAATATCCACAATTATTTACCCTAAAACTAATCAGGGGTCTGCACAGTCCTTAAATAACTATGTACCAAGTTTCATTGAAATGTGATGATTACTACTTGAAATATCAAAATCTGAAAATTAAATAATTATGCAAATAAGGTAATTAATATCTACTGATATTACCCTAAAAACTATCAGGTTTGTGCAGTGTCCTATGACATCTATGTACCTAGTTGAAATGTGATGATTAGTACTTTGAGATATCAGTGGAAAAGCCGAAAATTGATCAATCATTATGCAAATTAGGTAATTAATATTGCACAGATTTTACCCAAAACTAATCAAATCTGCACATTAGTTTGGAGCATCTATGTGCCAAGCTTCATCAAAATCCAATGAGTGATTCTTTAGATATCTGTGGCACAGTCATGGAACAGCTAAAAATCAGCTAATTATCATGTAATTAATTTGCATGGATTTTTACCAAAACCTAATCAAATCTGCGCAATGGCCCAGAGCATCTATGCACAAAGTTTCATCAAAAAACAATGTATGGTTCTTGAGATATCAGTGGAACAGATGGACACACATACACACACACTAACTGCAAAGACTCCTATTGTGTGTTTCAAACACGGGAGTCAAAAAGATAGTTTAAAATGGGGATAATCAAGTTAGCTTTGAAAGAACACATGTGAACATGCATATACCGGGTACATAAAAGTCACTATACTTTGGCTGGTCTGGTTAAAAAGGTCCTTCTCATCAATGAAATTTTTTTTAAATCAAAGATACAAATATGGCAATAAGCATAATCATAAGCAACATTTTATGACACAACATATAAAATTGGTAAAGGTATTTTATTTGGCAAACAACATGTTATTTTCTTATGAATAAATGTAGTGGAAACATGAATATTCTTTTCATGAAGTGTGGATATCTTAGAAATCATGAAACAGATAACAAGGCATGACAATCCGGAAAGCGATTTACTTGAAAACTTTAACCTCTACAATTAATCGTGTACAATAATTTAATAACATGTGAGTCTCTTTACAAACTAGCGTTTATATTTTCATTTTCTGGCTATTCATGTGAATATAATCAACATTACAATTCACATCACCAAGCACATCCATCAATGTACATCCCCAACACAATCAATTTTAATCAAAATAAAAAACCTACCTCCATTCACTAACGAATGTGATTTTGGGGGAACCTTGGTTAAGGTCCGCAGGTGCTTGTGTTTGACCGGGCCTGGTTGACGCCAGGATAGCGCATTAAAATTGCCATTTGATAGGGAGATGGCCACACAGCCTTGTCATGTCCCAAACAGGAAATGACTTCTGTGGCAAAATGCAGCATTAGCACTAGCACTTGCAATTTGCACTTACAAAAAAAAAGTCAGGAGAGACAACTGTGACATTCCATGTCCAAAACTGTCGCCTGGCACAAAAACATTTTTTTTTTTAAATCATAAAAAGACTTCTACATTAGTATTTATCTTGGATTCAATTGACTATTCAGGCAACATTTGAAAATGAGGCTCAATTCATACAGTATCCAAATATCATGACTTAACTCTGGGAATCGTAAACTAAATTTATTTACGTTCAATGCACAACTTATTCAATTATTATTGTAAAATACAATAACTATAATTGTGACAACTAATTTGTAAATACAACAAAATGTATCATGTGCATTATAAAATTTCACATTTTTCGACAGAAGCACCAAAGTCAGTGTTTCCATCCGGAAGTGATTGAGCTTCACAACTGAGGTCTAGGACAGGACGCCACCAAACCCCAAACTCTTGGGAATGAGGAAGATGTGGGAATAGAACCTAGGGATTTCTCCCGATCGCTGGCTACTTCCTGCCGGGTCGTCCCCACCTTGACCATGTCCCTTGGTAGAAGACCAAAGAGAGGAGTCGGAGGAGGAGACTGGAGAGAACTCTGATAACCCCCCCCCCCCTTACTCCGAGTGTCCAGGGGTCTCTCCTGCACCGGTGTGTGCTGCATGAGGCGCGATCGGAAGGGAAGGAGCGGACAGGGTTTTGGAGCTAGAGCAGGAGGACGAAGACAGGGAGACTGAGCCCTAGGACTCCTGACTTCTGACACTTCTCGCTACCGGTCTTCCGGTCTTCTTCTGCTCTTTAGAAAGGAACCAGCGCATCAGCTAGCCGGCCACAAAAAGAGCCGGCCACACGCACAAGGCCCTCTCCACAGACGATCAAACTCGCCTCCCGCTGGAGTAGGGTAGGCGAACTGACTCAGTACAGCCTCCTGCTCGACAGAAACCTCTCCTGCCAAGAAGGCAGTATGGACAATGTCGCACATATCGACTCTCTGCACAGCCAAAAACTGGTCCATCTGCCCGAGGATCATGGTTCACTGCTTAGCACTCAGGCGGTCAGAACTTAAAAGGGTGAGCTAAAGCTCTAACGCCAAGGAAACCCATTCTACAAAATTCTGCCAGCAGGGCCCGATGCACTTGCAGACTCTGGTGCCGATCAAATGACCACACAATGACCTGCCTTCCCGATCCATGCAACCCGCCTTAACAAAGGTGTGAGTACAGGGATCAGGGACAGGGACCCCGTTGAGGAGGCTGCGTCCTTAATTGCATATTGGTAAGGGTCAGCTGAGCTGAGCTGGCTGGGTAGTCTGTGCTTGTCCCAACAAGGAAGGGGCGAGAGACGACAAGCCACCACCACCCATCCCCACCCACTGAGGAAGTAGTAGTTTTCCCCGGGAGGGGCTGCATACCGCCCTGCGCAGGGGTACCAACACTGGAGTTCCCCTTGCAGAGTAACAAGAAGGGACACTTTGCGCGTTGTTGAAGCAGAAGTAACGAAGCCTGCTCAGACCGTGCCTAAGGGAGGTGTGGGAAACCAGAAGGAAGGTCCCCCTCCATAGGAAAGGTGGACACTCCCTGTCCCACTCATGTGAGTTAACCTCCTCCTCTTAGGGAGAGATCAAAGAGAGGATGGGGCACATCTAACCCAAATCCTAGCATGGAGGGGACAGACAGCACAGCCTGTCCCCCCTCCCACCTGACTCCACACACCCCACACCCCGGTCCTCATGCGTTGTCCCCCTCGTCTGCAGGAGGGAGCTCATTTTGGGGTCAAGTTAAACATCCAGGCCTTCCAAGCCTTCTCATTATCATGGGAGGAGCCCCTTTCACCCTGACTAACATCGGTAGGGAAGACAACAAGGTCTGTTCCTGTATATGAGCAACCAACCCAGGTTGCGTAAGTGCAGATGGAGTCTTGGTGTATTGGACCAGTTCCACCAGTACCTATCCCACCTTGGTACTCGTCGTCAGCACCCCAGTAGGAACACGCTGTAACTCGGTGTTTGTACTAGCGGTGATTGGCAACTCTGTTCCCCAACAAGAGTGGTGGAACGGGGCATGCCCGCCTAGGTAATATCACACGGAAAAACTAATTCCACAATGGAGAAAAGTAGCGAGCGACGCCTCCATCACCTCAGAGATGGACAGCTTGCCTCTGTCGTTGATCCTATAACATTGAGCAGGGAGTCCAACTGTGGCAACTCTTGATCTCCCTCAGTCCGCGATAGGCAAACCTCGTCTCTGCTACCAAGGGAAAGGGAGAGATGTTTCACTCATTGAAACAGATACATCGTTAGCTGTGGCTAGGGACTTCCCCTTTTTAGAGCGATGTATACCAGCTTTCCACAAACGCTTGCCCTCAAAGTGCTACCACGATCGAGAATCCCACAGATTGCAAATTCCCTCAAGGCAAAATCCATAGCAAAAATGACAACACATGTGTTTTGGGTCCCAGACTGGCAGCTCTAAGTGGTAAGATTAACATATCTTATGTGCCGAATCTAGTCAGGACGTTCTCAGTCTTTTCAATGATTTAAGCATGATGCAATTGAAGAAAAGCCAGGAAATGAGATCATAAAAAAACAAGAAAATTCACCCCGCCAATACAGCGAATTCATACTGAGCTGGTGATTCAACAAAAACAGACGAGATCTGGGGCCCTTATAATTGAAAGCCCTTACCGTAATGTAGAAACTGCTATTGTCGATCGTCAAAGCATACTAGATTTCTAGGAAGCCCAGTAAAAACTATAATCAGCGGAAAAATATATCCCGGAAACACCAGAACAAAAAGAGAATGGAGACAGAAAGGCGTGATCGCCTTGGAGGGTGACCCCTCAGGCGAAGCCTTTTTCTTAGAGAATGCTACTCTAGGGTGTTCCCTTTAGACCCGGTATACTCTCTAATAGTTTCCGTCTAGGGCTGTAATCTGTAATTAGGCCTAATGAGTAATAAATGAAATTTATTATTTTCACTGATTTTCTGGAAGGTGATGTAGTAAACTATAATAAAATAGGGACCATGAGTATTCAAGGCAAGAACAGTAAATGAATTGGATCTTGTCTATCAATCAAAAAATAAATAAATCAATTGATATACTTTTAATTCGGCAACTGTAAGTGACTTGCACACTTCAACCTGTGTTAATATTATTCACAGGTGGAAAACATTTAATATCAGGGTTGAGAGGCTGCTAAGTTTTCATGAAATACAAAAGTTGAAATTTAGGCCATTTTCTGTGAAATTTTTGTCTACAATTCAGAATGCGACCAAACCATGTACTGACTAATTCAAATTATTGTCACTGTTTTCATAACAAGCTTTGGAAAAATGCTGCAACACAGCTCTATTTGTTACCTGCTCTAAGACATTTCCGAAACAAGTAATTGATTTATTAGGAAAACCATGAATAAAGATACAACATGCATATGGCTGGCAAACCAGTTAGGTGCAACAAGCACATGGCCTACAAGCACAGCAAGTTGACACTATGCTATTAAACAGTGTTCATAAACAGAAAAGGTATAGAAAGTAGAAAAAATTTTCTGAAAAACCATGGTGACACAATAGTTAAAGTCAAGATTACTAACCTCAAATCCAAGATTGAAACAACTATGCATTGTTTCTTTGTAATAATATCTCATATTAATTCTTTCCATTTCTTCAATGTCAGCCAATAAATCTAAATCTAAATTCTCATCAACTTGATGCACTGCAGTCGTTATCATTTCACTTAAGGTTAAAGCTTCTGACTGAAAACACAGCAAAACCATTTCAATAATTAATTAAAACAAAAAAAAGCATAATGTCTGTTATTGGTTAGAATAAGTATCATACCAATGAATGACTATTTTGAACTGTAGGCAGAGTCAGACGCCAAGTGGTGGGTTTCCGAGCAAAAACAAAGGAGTATTCCAAATATAGGGTGTCCCATCCCGGGACAATTTTTTTTACTTATGACTACCACCTTGTTAAGATCAGTGAAAAACGGTGTATTACCTTGCCAGTGTTGTTCCCATAACAAAAGCATACTGCTGATAGGGTGACAGGGTCGGCATTGCCCGAGGATGCGAGACCCAGGCCCACCCTAAAAAGATCTTCCTCAGTGGATTGCGTGATCCACCTAGAAATGGAAATCGGGAAGGCTGTTCATATCACACAAGCATGTGCTTCCTGCCCTGCCTAGACTCCCTAGTATAGTTCTAGTAGCAACTCAAAGCTCAAACCGGGCAAAGAAGCAACTCCTCCTGATCCTCCGAGCCAACAATATTGGCCAAACAGGGGGTGACGATCGGCTGTGGATCGTGCCCTGAAATTTGGTTCTTGGAGAGAAACCCAATTTGTGTCTTCGCACAGCATGATTGTCCATAAAGGTGGCACAACCGTCAAGGCGAGAGCTACAAATGTAGTAGGAAGACTGTTTACCATGTCAAATATTTCAGAGGTGCTAATTGCAGTGATTCACAGGGTGGTCTGCTTAAAGCTGACAACACAACCGACAAGTTCCAATTGGGTGGTTCCCTGAGTCGGGGTCTAGCCTCTGATTATGAAAAGCAGTAAACAGTCTCCTAATAATAGGACAATCGGCTAGTCTTGTCCCCAAAGAATTCTCGATGGTGGGTGACAAGGCTGACGTATAGCCAACAATTGCTACCTGGCCAACAGTGGGGTGGCATGGATCAACCTTCCTTCCACTACACCAATCAACGTATGCCCGCCCTTTAGAGTCGTAGGCTGCATTTGTGGAACCCCTATTCGCCCTGGCCAGGACATTGGCAGCTCACTCATATAAACCTTCCTACTGTGCGAGTCTGCTGAAAGCCTACATGCATGTAGGTGGTACACTGGGAGTGCACAGTCCAATTGGGACTCATTGGGTTATCTGCCAATATGTGCGCTCCCCAACCTGTGAGGGAGGCATCTGTTATCAGAGTCATAGTCATAGCAATGGGACCCATTGCTTGAGGTTGGTAATTGCCATCCATCAGGGCAAGGCATCCTTCGCTTGGTCTGAGAGAGTTACTCACCACTCCAGTTCCCGTAGGTGAGACCGGTGTTGCAACAAAGTGGGTTGCACCGGGCGACTGCGAAGTGCAGCTTGGGGAACTACCCTGCGAACTGATGTCATCATACCAATGATGCGCATCAGCTCTCAGAGAGACACATAGGGATCGCTGACTAGATGTTCGGCTAGGCCGCCTAGAGCTAGGCAACGAGTCTGCGAGGGACGTATCAAGTCTGCCTCTGTGTCAAACTCCATGCCCAGAAACACCAACTACCGTGTTTGATGTGGGTGGGACTTTTTTAGATTTACTAGGTAGCCTAACTAGTGTAATAAATCCTATGCTAGCCCTACTTGCTCAGCCAACAACACCTTGTTTTGGTTGTGTAGCAACCAGTCGTCTAGGTACCAGTTGATGTGTACCGACGACCGATGCAGCACGTGTTTCAACACTCTGGTGAACATGTATAGAGCCGAGCATAGCACCCTGAATTTGAATACTTGGCCCAAATGGGCGAATCGATGGAGACGATGACTCGATGGATTTATTGGTATGTGCGGGTAAGCATCGCTTAAGTCTAGCGTTACTAACCAGTCGAAACGGACACCTGAAGCCTTTGCAACTACAAACATGTGTGAGTAGAAGCCCAGACTTATCACAGGGTCTTCTATCCTGTGTATGGCACCCTTTGTAAGCAAACTGTATACCTCCTGTTGGATTGCTTCTCCTTTGAGGGGATCCCCTGGCAGCGTCCCCAATGGGGGGGTGTTGACAGGGAATGTAGAGGTAGCGGAATTTCGAACCATGTGTCACCACCTGGAGAGTCCAGGGACCGGCTACCCACTGCCTTCAATCTGAGTGGGACAGGGATATGTGGCCATGGGTTCAAATGGTTCTACATTGGGTGCCAAAGTGAGTCGCATTAAGATTTGTAGGAGTCGAAAAGTTCAGACTCTGTCCCCTGCCAAACGTATGCCCACCCCCCTGTCGCAGACAGAAGCGTCAAACTTGCTTCCCACACGACCCAAGGAAGAGGAGGGTCCACCACCTGGTCCCATACCCGAGCTAGGGAAACACGATCAGTCTCGGCAACTTGCACACAGTCCTGGAAAATATCCCAGGCATCGGAATCTCAAGTTAGAGCACACATCCTTGTGGCAAAACCCTGAATCCCGAAACCCAAACACATTCCAAACAAAGGTGACATTTGTATTGGAAGATGCTGGTGGCAATTTCCACATGACCGAGTCAGTTTTGGGGGCAACAACCTCGGAGGCAAGAAGGTCTTCCTGGACTACTTTCCTTTCTTCCTGTCAATTTTTAAACACTAAGAAAATAAACAAGGCATGCATGAGTGGAACGAAATTACAGTTAAAATCAAAGAAAGCTTAGAAAGAACTCCCATGTGCTGAGAAGTATTGGAGACAAATTAAATATAATTTGAAATTACGTAGCTGAAAACTAATTATGCAAATCAGAAAATTAACATGAACAGATTTGATTGTAAAACTAATGAGGTCTGCGCAATGTAACAAAAACTCTATGTACCAAGTTTAATTGAAATGTGATTAGAACCAAAAAATTATGAATTATTATGCTAATTAGGGAAATAATATGAACAGAGTTTTACCCCAAACTAATTAGGTTTGTACATTGTCCTAGAGCATCTTTGTACTAAGTTTCATTAAAATGGAAATTAGTACTTTAGATATCAGTGTGAAAGCTTAAAATTGGTTAATTATGCAAATTGGGTAATTAATATGTACAGATTTTAACCCACAATTATCCAGGTCTGTCAATTGTCCTACAGCATTCATGTATAAACATTCATTGATATGTGATGATTAGTACCTGAGATATCAGTGTGAAAGTTGGAAATTGG